TTTACTAACAGCTTGTTCATGATCTATTACTAATTTATTAGGTATAGTTTTAAATCATTAAAATACAGTTAAGAAGTCATTTACAACTTGTCAACAAACGGCTTGTAAGTTATCTATTAGCCATCTATAAGGCACAGTTGTAAATAATTAACAAACTATTAACTTTTATTTAACAAGTCATTTATAACTTGTTAACTAACAGTTTATTAATGGTCTAATAACTAGTTATAACAGATAGTTATTCTAAAGTGTTACCAAAAAATGTAATGATGTTTTTTTTTTCTTAAACCATTTTAAGGTCAAAATTATTAGCCCCTTTAATTACATATTTTTTCAGATTGTTTACAGAACAAACCATCATTATACAAGGACTTGCCTAATAACCCAAACTTAGTTAACCTAATTAATCCTTTAAATTTCACTTTAAGCTGAATACTAGTATCTTAAAAATATCTAGGAAAATGTTATTTACGGTCATCATGGCCAAGATAAGATAAATCAGTTATAGAGATGAGTTATTAAAACTATTATGTTTAGAAATGTGTTGCAGAAATCTTGGGAAACAGAAATTGGGGGGAAAAATAAACAAGGGGGCTAATAATTCTGACTTCAACTGTATGTACTGTTGTACCTATTATAATACACACACACACACACACACACACACACACACACACACACACACACACACACACACACAATATGTCAGTGCACTATTTCAGTCGTAGCCTCAGGCGGTGTCTCTTTCTACTAACTGACCACACATGCTCTCGCTCACCCAAATGAAATGCATATCTATATCAACAGCCTTGCTTCTTCTGTATCTCCTCTACAGCACAGAAGCCAGAGAATCCCTGACACGGTAATTCTGCACTGTTCACACATTCCTCAATGTTTTGTGTGTGTGTGTGTGTCTAAAATCTTTAATTAATGACCAGCCATCCAGATGTTCCATGTCAGCCCGAACATGTGTTTTATGAGGACACCATGCCTGCTTCAGCATTTCTCCATTTTAACCATTCCTATAACTTTTTTCAACACTTTCTTCCCCCCCCCCCACCACCACCTCACACACTTTCTTTCATCCCTTTATACCAGTTTTGAAACTTTAATCTGGCGAAGAGTGAAGCTGTTGAATTATATATCCTGTATAAGATGAAATGCAGATTCTGTCCGGGCCCTACGGCGATATACCCCAAGTCCTCTTGTAAGGAATAAATTACATCACATTTGATGTAACAGAAGTCATGACAAGCCTGTGAGCAAGTCACTTTTTTTTTTACACCCGTTTTCATGTCAGTATTTCTTTTTTGTCAGTAGTTTGTGATGCGGGCAAAGCTGCGAGGCAAGACTTTTATTTTGCATTTCAAAGCATTCCTCTTATTTGTTCTCTTTATTAAATATTGTTCTTTATTTATTTAATCCAGTAAGCTAAAACGAGTCTGACTAATCTGTTTTAAACATAAAAATGCTTTATCTGGTTTTATTATGCAATGTGACCCATCTGTTAGCTCTATACCTCAACATCCCTCACAGTTAGTCATCGGGTTGTCTAACAGAAGATTGGCACGGATTTGTTAGCTGCTGCTGCTTTTCTTGTCTTGTCTTCTTATTTTTTTAATGCTTAAACACATATTTTAAGGTTTATTATACAATTCCTTAAGATTAGTCATCAGTGGGTTTGACACAAGTATCATGTGCCCACAGAATTTAGCAGAAAAGTTCTGCTTTAAATCGTCCATCCTGTTCTTTTATTGTAGAAGTTTTGGTGCGCTCTTTAAATGAAATGCTGGGTTGTTTTATTTTTACAAAAATGATTGCAAACTTTCACATAAAATCAGTTTGCGGGTTTTAAACAAAACTTAGAAGACCTGGAAGGTGTGTGTGTGTGTGTGTGTGTGTGTGTGTGTGTGTGTGTGTGTGTGTGTGTGTGTGTGTGTGTGTGTGTGTGTGTGTGTGTGTGTGTGTGTGTGTGTGCGCGTGTGCATGTTTTTGTGACATATCAGGACACAAATCTGTATAATGACATGGGTATGACACAGGTCTTAAAGGGGGTTAAATATGTGGACATTGGTGACGTCCTCATTTCTCAAAATGCTTATAAATCCTACAGAATGAGTTTAATCAGAGAGTAAAGCTGTCACAGTCTGACACAGTCTCCGGTGATGGTTGGGTTTAGGGGTGGGTTGGGGTGAGGGCAATACCATATATGGTTTGGACCGTATAAAATGAATGGAAACCTATGTAATGTCCCCACTTTTCACAAAAACAAACATGTGTGTGTGTGTGTGTTTTCTATACACTCAAAAAATGATTTTTGCTGATTGTTCAAGCTATTTTTGGACAGTTTTCATGTTATTTTGTTAAAGAAGCTCCAGATTTGGCTTCAGTACTGACTTATCTAATGTATATGCACATATATAATATTGAAAAGCTTCCTATAGAATATAATAATTTAAATGAGAGATTTGTGAGGGGTGTACTTGTATACTCAATACTCTAAAAGGAGTTTAAGTTTGGATATCAAAGGTGAATTCAAGAAGATGCTCAAGGAAGAAATTAGTTTTACAATATGACAGACAGACAGACAGACAGACAGACAGACAGACAGACAGACAGACAGACAGACAGACAGACAGACAGACAGACAGACAGACAGACAGACAGACAGACAGACAGACAGACAGACAGACAGACAGACAGACAGACAGACAGACAGACAGATAGATAGATAGATAGATAGATAGATGGATAGATAGATAGATAGATAGATAGATAGATAGATAGATAGATAGATAGATAGATAGATAGATAGATAGATAGATAGATAGATGGATAGATAGATGATATAGACTCAAATAAAATAAGCTTGTTTTTAAACTAGTGAAAATGAGTTGAAAACACAATTCTTAAGTTTTTTGTGACAGCTTAATTTTTTTATGTTCAATTTAGTTACATTTGTAAAAACGATTAAGTTAACTTCATTGATTTGTGTTGGGATAACATGAATGAATTGTTTGGAACCCAGCATTTTTAGTGTGTGCACACTCAACAACAACAAAGGATTTTACTGCTTGTTCAAACTGCTTATTTAAAATGAGCTGAATCAACACAATCCTTGAGATTTTTTTGGGACAACTTAATTGTTTTATGTTCAATCCACTTAAATGTGTTAAGCTGATTGATTTGTGTTGGGACAGCCTGAATGAATTGTGTGGAACCCTGTCTATTCAAACAGCCATAACAAAGTGACAAATACTGAAAATGAGAATGAAAATGTGGTCACTTTATTTGTTTTATTTAATTTAGGTCATACAAATCATACTGTTAACAAAATGATATGACTTATACTCTACCTTAACAAACTCCTACACTGTAAAACCTGACAGTGAAAATCACTAAATTAAGTGAGTTTAACTTATATATTTTTTAAAAGTTACTTCAACTCAACGAAAAGAGTTATGGTAACCCATAAACTGATTTTATCATGCAGAACTCAAAACGAATGAGTTATGAATAGACAATTTCTATTTTTTCGTGTGTGTGCTAGAAGCAATACCAAACCATTGAAGAGACTAGAGGATTAAGTTGTTTGGACTCGATTCAATCTTTACCATACTAATACTCTGAATGTTTGACGACAAAAGAGTTTTGAACTCAGTGTTGAAGGTAATAAGATAATTAAATACCTCATTACTTACTTAAATGGAGTAAGTTCACAATATTGTGTAGATTAGATTCTTGAACTCAAATGGTTTGTAGCAATCGGTTTCCTCAAATGATTTGAGTTGCCTTAACTTACTGGGTTTTACAGTACTCAGTTGGTTTGAGTTCTCTTCATCTATTGGGTTTTGCTGTGCTCAAATTGCTTCGTTTACTCAAATGAATTAAGTTCACAGCACTCATTAGGATTAGTTTTTAAACTTAAATAGGTTTGTTGCAATCTGTGTCCTCAAATGGTTTGAGTTACCTTAACTTTTGGAGTTTTACAGTGCTGTAATTATGTAAACAGAACTTCAATGGTAAAAATAGCTTAAATTTGCATACAAAAACTGCTTAACCAACCAATAAATTTGAGCAACACCATTTGCGAGGATACAAAAAACATTTACACATTACCAAAGTAAAGATTTTTAGGTAGTATTGCTTTAAATTTGATGTGAAAAATTGCTTCAAAAGAGATGCAAAAATTATGCACTATATTTTTAAGTACATCTACACTGAAAAAAATATTCAAAGATGATTCCTTGGACTTACTCATTTATTTTTTTGTGTTAAGTGGTTGTAAACAATTCATTTGTGTTGAATTTAAACAAACAATTTAAGTTGATCATTATTAAACTTAATTTGTTTGTTTAAATTCAACACAAATAAATAGTTTGCAACAGTTCTGCAGCACTTTTTTCAGTGAAGCATATTTTTTTCAGTGCTGGAGTCCACACAATTCATTCATGTTAACCCAACACAAATCAATTAAGTTTACTTGATAGTTTTTACAAATTAAGTGGATTTACTTGAACTTTTTTTTTTTTTTTTTTTTTTAAGGGTACAGATTCTCTCCAACAATCAGTGCTCGAAATAAAATGCACTATAACGAAGCAGAAGGCTTCACAGTAATTGCCTCGCCCAGATTCAGTCAAACTGAACCACACAACAACCTTCCCAGAATCCTCCACCAACTCAACTCAAAATGCATACGCAACCTTTGTGCAACCGCAAGGTTTAAAGTATGATTCCTGAATAATGGCTGTCATCCAGCTTGGGATGCTGAATATAGTTTTTTTTTTTTCACAAACACACAATCTAAGCATGTTTATGACAGGCTCTCCCTGCAGTTGGGCTTCCCATTAGCAGAATTACCGCGGCTCAACATGTGTTATTAGCTCCTGTGCAGAAATGAAAAAAGGTGCTCGTAACGCCTCAGGCTCAACATCTCCTTTAAACATTAGTCATAAAAAAGAAAAGCTTTGCCACCACCTCCTCTGAACTCTCCCAGCCAATCGGAACCAAGGAAGGTCGCCCTCGCAAAATACCCTTAATGTGTCCCAAAGGTTTGGCATCGTCTGCACAGGTCGTCCTCAGTCAGAGAGGGCCGTGGGCACCGCTGAAGACCTTCTTCTGCATCCTTTCAGACTCTCAGAAAACATGGCTCCTCATTTCAGGTAAGACCTCAAACACTGGTGGTCCTTGTGGAAGATATGGATAAGATCTTAATCTCGAGGTTGTTTTTAGGGGGGATATATGCCTCTAATGAGTTGCTTTGACCTTTTGTTGTGTGCCAAGAGTGTTGTGAAGATAATTTCTTTATTCCTTGAGCATTTAATGTTGAATTCACCCTGGATATGCAAACTTAAATCTCTTTTTAGTGTTTTAAGCATTTATATTGGATCTTTAGCAGGATCTTGTGTCATTCTGTTGACGTTACACTGTAAAAAAATGCTTAGTTCCACACAATCGATGTGTTCACTGTAAAAAAAAAAAAATTAAAATGCATAAAATTTTTAAGCTGAATTAAATTAACCTTATGACTCCATTGAACTTATGTTAAACGGACTTAAAACAGCTTGCTTAACTTATAAAATTAAGTTAGAACATGATTAACTTAGTTTATTACAATGACCTAAAAACATATGCTTCCAGGACTAATTGATGATATACTTTTTGACAACATGGAGGAATTAAGTTAATTTATTGGTTTTTATTAATTTAAGTGGATTAAACACAAAAAAAATTAAGTTGACCCCCCAAAAAGCTCAATAATTGTGTTTCAGTTCATATATTATGTTAAACTGACTTAAAACAACTCGCGTAACTTAAATTAAGTTAGAACAGGATTAACTTAGTTTAATTAGTTTCAATGACCTCAAAAAACATACTGTCAGGAATAATTAATCGGATAATTTTTTACAACATAAATAATTTAAGTTCATTATTGGGTTTTACAAATTTAAGTGGATTGAATATAAAACACTTAAGTTGACTGACCCAAAAAAAACTCAATAACTGTTGTTTCTGCTCATATATTATGTTAAACTAACTTAAAACAGCTTGCATAACTTAAAAAATCAAGTTAAAACCGGCTTAACTTCGTTTATTAGTAACAATACCCTAAAAACATATGCTGCCAGCAATAATTGATCATATAATTTTTTTTACAACATGAAGGAATAATTTATTGGGTTTAACAAATTTAAGAAGATTGAACATAAAACAATTAAGTTGACCCCCAAAAAAGCTCAATAATTCTGTTGTTTCAGCTCATATATTATGTTAAACTGACTTAAATCAGCTCACATAACCTATTAAATTAAGTTAGAACATGATTAAGTTAGTTTAATTAGTTACAATGACCCAAAAACATGATGTCAGGGCTAATTGATCATTTTACAACCTGACGAAATTGTTAAAGTATTGTTTTTTTTACAAATTTAAGTAGATTGAACATAAAGCTATTAAGTTGACCCCCCAAAAAAACTCAATAATTGTGTTGTTTCAGCTCATATATTATGTTAAACTGACTTAAATCAGCTTGTGAAACTTGTAAAATTAAGTTGGAACAGTATTAAGTTAGTTTAATTTGTTACAATGAAGTAAAAACATGTGCTGGCTGGACTAATTGATCATACTTTTTGACAACATGGAGGAATTAAGTTATTTTATTTTATTATTTTTTTTTATTATTATTATTTTTACAAATTTAAGTAGATTGAACATAAAACAATTAAGTTGATTGCCCCAAAAAACTTTAAAATTGTGTTGTTTCAGCTCATATATTATGTTAATCTGACTTAAAACAGCTCGCATAACTTATCAAATTAAGTTAGAACATGATTTAGTTAGTTTAACTAGTTACAATGACCTAAAAACGTGATGTCAGGAATAATTTACAACATGAAGGAATTAAGTTAATTTATTGTGTTTTAAAAATATATATGAAGATTGAACATAAAACAATTAAGTTGACCCCCCAAAAAACTCAATAATTGTGTTGTTTCAGCTAATTTTAATAAGTAATTTGAACTTACATCAAACATAATTTTTGTGTGCAAAAGACAGATTTTTAGGCTTGTGCTTGATAAAAAGTCTTTGCAATCTCTTTTTCAAACATACACATTTTTAAAGCATCTTTTTAATTATAGTTTAGATGAAAGTTGAGGAGGAACTTCCCTCAGCGTCTGGATGAAAGGCTCCAGTTAGTTCAGAACACGTCTGAACACAAAATCTGATGATGTCCCATGGATTACAGGGTGATTGTTTGGAAACCATGCTTAAAATATTTTATAGGCCATATGTTAGCCAGTTAATTGAAATATTTTAGGGATTTTGATGAGATGAAAGTCAATGGAAAACCTGTAAATGTATTGTTAAAAAACTGCTTTTCAGGCCTTGACTTGATTAAAGATAGATAGATAGATAGATAGATAGATAGATAGATAGATAGATAGATAGATAGATAGATAGATAGATAGATAGATAGATAGATAGATAGATAGATAGATAGATAGATAGATAGATAGATAGACGGACAGACGGACAGACAGACAGACAGACAGGTTTCCTTTAAGACCTACAAGTCAATATTTCAGCGAATTTAAGACCTTTTTAATGTCTAAACTTTTTTTATTTATGTTTTTAAAGATTTGCTTCTGGCCATTTTGCCTTTATTAAGTGGATAGGACAGTATTTCACAACGCATGCTCATTCTTAAAACGAAGTCCCGTGGATGTTTCTGGAGGCTGCAAAATATGTCCTGGGAGTTTTTGTGAATCCTCGATGCTGTGTGCGCTTTTTTGCATCTTAAATGTCTCTCGCGAGTGCCGTTCGCACCCGATGTTCTCGCGTAAACCCACCAGAGGCCACTGTCGAATGACCGTCTGTCCGACTGACTGACTGATTGACTGTGCGACTGGCCAATCAACTGACCCAGCCTCCTCCTAACCTAAAGCCAACCAATTTTACCGATTGACCCGCCCACCCACTTACTTCCTTAAACCCAACCAACAATTTACAAAAATCATCCAGTAATTGATAAGCCCTCGTCTGATTTTTACTACGTTTTCGGATTTTACCACATTCTCACCCTGTTGTTTACTCGTTCATTTTATTTTTTTGGAGTCTGTTTTTGTCTTACCTGCTTTCTGGAACCGCTGTTCCCCGGACTCGAACCTGGTTGTCGTCATCATGGTCAGCTCCTCTCTGCATCTCAAGTCCGCTGACGTACACGACGAGCTAACTGAACAAACTGCTTCTAGTGGGAAAGCCCTCCACATGGAGGTAAGCGTCTGCCTGTAAGCGGCAAAAGGAACGGCGTCATACCTCCCCATTAGCGTTTGCTTAAAAAGTTAAATGCATTTGTACCTCCAGCTACATAATTCGCAGTCTCCAGAAACGTTCACATGACTACGTTTTTAGAATGAGCCTGGGTTGGTATTTCAGACGGGAAGCCAAGAGGGAGAGAGAGGGTAGGGACAGGAAATGTCCTTGAGCCAGGATTCGAACTCAGGACACCCTGAAGTACTAACACTAGGCTATTGCGCCAACCTAAATTTGAAATGTAAGACTTTTTAAGACCCGGCGGATTTCTGTAGTATTAATAACATATGAGCAGTATCATATTCAAATGTTACCATATGCAAGATCATTTTGGTATACGTGTTCATCTCAAAACATCAGAAACACTCAAGTTTTCTGACACCGATTAATCAAAGATGTCAGTTTTTAGTACTGTTTTGATTTACAAGTAGTGCGAATGCTTAATTTGTATTGGATTTGGATATTTGAAATGAGGGTGACACTCGGATTAGGAGGTGAGGTTATCTAAATCTTGGATTTGGTATGGCTGACAAACTAATAATCCATGCGGAGAGGAATATCTCCCACCCACAGCTGTCATTCCCCGTCTGAGGAAACGCTGCGGAAATCACAGGCTGCTGATTAATCACAGTACAAGAGATTTGTGACCGGCAACAACATGGTAAAACTACATCAAACTGAGGGAGAACTGCTTTATATAACATCTGACTCAATCAACATGAGCCGCAAAACATATGTAAATTAGCTTTATAGCTAACTCTGGCACAACATGTTATGTTGTACATTGTCCCTGTATAAATAAATAAAATAAATAAAAATAGTGTACAAGTATTACACTAATGATTCACACTAATGAATACACTAATGAACTTTTTTTTCTTTGGACTGTAAATGTTCCTTAGTAGTGCACTGAAAAATTTACAGTAACTTACTGGGAATTTTGGTTGCCAGTAAAACTGTAAATTTACAAGCTCACCATAAATAATTCTATTCATAATAGTCTTAAACGTCTTAAAAGGTTAATGAACCCTGCAGAAAATGAGTGAGGTCGGGAATACATTAATTAAAACCCTGTGAGTGTTTAGGGAACTTGCCAGGGAATCTGACGCACACACTAAAGCCACGACAGCTCAAGGGCCACTGCCATATCTGTCACAAACACACACACACAACAACAATTCTTAGTTTTTACATTACAATGAGATATTTCCCTTCATAAGCACATTTTCTATCTTGTATTACTCGTTGTCCATCCAAACACACTCTGTGGCCGTGATACATCACAGATTCGAAGTTGTGTAATGGTCTGTATTGTGCACCCTCGTCCTTCTGTTTCGCTATTCTGTCTTCTTCACAACAGCTGCAAATGGAAAATACAAGCTGTTATTTTAGTATAATAGAACAATTGCTTGCAAAGCACAACCGTTTGTCAAGGGAGTGAGATTAAGAGGATGAGAGAGAGAGAGTCGTTTTGACAGTGCTAACATGAAGACAGAATTACATATAAAAGCTTTACTTAATGTTGGGATAGATTTTAAGGAATAAATAATGTGGTTTTTCAAGGATGCAAAAGTTCGAATGAATACTGTTATGATTAATTCTTTAACTACAAAAATTAAGCAAACACACTACTTATAAAACAATACAGAGCTAAGAGCTGATCAGGGAAGTTGTGGTGTGTGTATCCTCCTTTCGAGGCAGATATCTTTGATTAATCCGTGTCAGAAAACTTGAGCGCATGATGCGTGATGGGCAGACGGCTTGCCAAGTTTTGTGATCGACCAACGCATGCGTAGGCCAAGTCTTTTTGTGCTGTGCTCGTAGTTCAGTGCTGTCACGGCTCTGAATTCTCAAGGCGTCCTTTTCAGATTTTGGTCCCACTTTTATTGGTTAAGGCCACTTAATATAAAGTGGGTGTCAGTTTCTGATATCTGTAAGGCAATTATAAGATCTTTTTTAGGGATGATATGCGCAAAATGTCAGCTGATAGAAATGGAATGGCTTGATAGATTGAATTGATGATGGTGGCACAAAAGATAGATTGGTGATGGATGGATATTTGAATAGGTGAATGATTAAATGGACGAATAATACATAGATTAATGGTGGAAAGGCTGGATACATTGAATTGATGGTTGAAAGAAGGATAGATTAGGGATGGATGGATGGATGGATGGATGGATGGATGGATGGATGGATGGATGGATGGATAGATATTTGAATAGTTGAATTATTAAATGGATGATAATTACTGAGATTAATGGTGGAAAGGCTGGATAGATTGAATTGATAGTTGAAAGAAGGATAGATTAGGGATGGATGGATGGATGGATGGATGGATGGATGGATGGATGGATGGATGGATGGATGGATGGATATTTAAATAGGTGAATTATTAAATGGATGATAATTACTGAGATTAATGGGGGAAAGGCTGGATAGATTGAATTGATGGGGGAAAGAAGGATAGATTAGTGATGGATGGATGGATGGATGGATGGATGGATGGATGGATGGATAGATATTTGAATAGGTGAATTATTAATTGGATGATAATTATAGAGATTAATAGTGGAATGGCTGGATAGATTGATTGGTGGATGATGGTGGAAAGAAGGATAGTTGGGTAAAGACTGGATAGATGGATAGATGGATGAATGGATGGATGGATGGATGGATGGATGGATATTTGAATAGGTGAATGATTAAATGGATGATTAATAAATAAATTAATGGTGGGATGCCTAAATAGATTAAATTGATGATGTTGGAAAGAAGGATAGATTAGTGATGGATGGATAGATGAATATATAGATAGATAGATAGATAGATAGACAGACAGACAGACAGACAGACAGACAGATAGACAGACAGACAGACAGACAGACAGACAGACAGACAGACAGACAGACAGACAGACAGACAGACAGACATATATTTGAATAGGTAAATTATCAAATGGATTATAATACCAGATTAATGGTGGGATAGCTGGATAGATAGATTGGTGGATGATGGTGGAAAGAAGGATAGTTTGGTGGATCGAAGGATTGGTTGAGAGATAGATGGATGAGTGGATTGGTACAGTTTTATGTATAGATGAGAATATTAGTTATAAATGTGTGTGATACTGCATTTAGATGATTTGATTAGATTTTTTGCCTTTTTTATGCTCTTTTTATTTATTTTTTATCACGACTTATTCATCATAACTGGCAGAATATCTTCTTGTCACCTTCCTGTGCCTCTTTGACCAATTTACACGCACACACACACACACACACACACACACACACACACACACACACACACACACACACACAAACACACACAGTGAACAGGTGGCTCAGGGTCTGATCAAGCGCTCAGTGTCTCAGCGTGCTGCTGGGTGTCATGAGGGTTTCTGACTGATGCATTTTTGCATTTTTAATAATGCAGTCTTCAGTGCTGGTGCACGTCTGTTTACAAGTACAGAGTCTGATCAATCTCTAGAGCTATTGTGAGAATTCTTGTATGACCACCAAGACTGAATACTGAGATTAAACATGCAGCATTACAGTATAAAATAGCTCTTTTCTATTTAAAGATGCTCTAATTGAATTTTGCAAGACAATATTGATTTCCGAAAGCACCAAAACAAACATATAAGCCCAACTTCATGCCTTTTTGATTTTGGTTTCAGTGACACAGGGGTCAACAGCATTTAAAAAAACAATATTGCTTAAATGTTATTTACTGTATTCTTATGATGCAAAGATGAATTTTCTGCATATACTTTCTCCAGTCTTCAGTATCACATGATCATTTAGAAATCATTTTAATGTGTTTTCATGATGCTCAAGAATCAAATATGCATGTTATTGCCTTAAAGGGTTAGTTCACCCAAAAGAAATGACTGCAAAAAATAAAACATGTTACTCTCCCTCGTGTGGTTAATTTTCTTCTGTTGAACACTTAAGAAAATATTTCGAAGAATGCTGGTTGCTGCCCCCCATTGACTTCCATAGTATTTGTTTTCCTTCTATGGATGTCAATGGGTGCCAGCAGAGAGCATTCTTCGAAATATCTTATTTTGTGTTCAACAAATGAAACCAACTCTAAGAGGTTTTGAACAAGTAAAGGGGGGTCATAAACGATGCCAAATTTGTCATTTTCGAGTGAACTGTCCCTTTAAGAGTCAATTCTTTTAGATAAGACATTAAAGTCATCACATCACTGTAAAATATTCTTGCTGCTTTACTTTATTTTGTTAAATCAACTTACATTATTTAAACTGACTAAAAATGTGAAGCTAAACTTTGTATAACTTTAAAAAAGAAATGTTGAAACCTGATTAACTTTTAAAACTTTTTTCCAGATCTTACCAGTGCTTTCCAATAATACTGTAGTTCATTATTTATTGGTTGCATATATATATATATATATATATATATATATATATATATATATATATATATATATATATATATATATATATATATATATATATA